TGTGCAAAAAAAAAAAAAAAAAATTTTTCAGAAAAGATAGGTCTGGTTCTCCAGTTTTTCTACAGCTCGGCTTCTCAGCATGACACTTTCTGTATTTTACCTCCACTGGAAAAATCTTTTATGAAAAATATCCTCAAAAATCTTTATTTTTATTCAGTATCAGTATACTTGCGCTTCATATGCATTGGTTCCTCTTATTTTTGCGGCACATTCATCTGATGATGTACTAATGCTTCAAGAAAAACAAATTTTTTAAAAAATTGTAAAGAATGCTTATCAAAAAAGGTGATTCCAATCTTAATGATAAAAATCCATTTCATATTCCTTAGCATTTATCTCAACAAACTGAAGTTAAACCTTCTTCATGAAAATGTTGTTTTCATTAAACATACAATTGATTCTGATACAAGGTGGGGTGGCTGAAAATCTTTTAAAATTATACTGACCTATTTTTATTTTTTGCAAATTTTAGCTGCAATTTAAACTACACAAGGTACAAATGAGGACTTATTGAGCAGCTTGATGGGTACACCACAACTACAATTAATAAGAAAATTATGTTTTAAATCAGGTGAAAGACTGCAGAAAGTTAACAAAAAACATGACTTATGACAATAAGTTATATGTCTTGTCTTCTGCAAACATAACACACACGGTAGTAATAGTTACACTTAATTGAGCAACTTTTAACTTTAAAATATACTTTTAGGAGTAGTTGTACTTTAACATACTTTAGCTTTTACTTAAGTAATACCCTTGGAAACTATTCCTCCCCCCCACATGTAATTGGAGCTATTCAGAGATCAGGAGAATATACAGTAAACAGACCATATTGTTGCTTTAAGGTCTTTATCCTTTTCTAACATATATGCATTACCTACTGTGAATTTAGATTTTTTTTATATGTTTCTGTTGAAAATCGGTTTTGTGGAAAAATGTTTCCTCTGCCTGAATTTGTCATTTTTTAATCATGTTGTATATTTGTGTTATTCTTATTTTTATTTTATACTTTAAAATGACAGAACTTGCAGTTAACTCTCTGTCTGACTATATTATTTTAGCAGTAAATCAGATGCTATGAGCAAACAATTCCTCATTAATTAAGCAGCTATTTTAACCAAGTGTTTAAACCTACTAGAATATTCTCTTGGATGAATACTCTGTACTTTAACTCGAGTAAAAATGTTTAAGCAGGGTTGCTCTTATTTGAATAAAATTCATGAGAACTGTGATATTGGTACAAACTTTTTGAATAGGAAAAAGTGTAATCAGCAAAAATCTCCAGAAGAGGGCAGAAAAGAGCTTTGTATATAACAACAGCAGACCTCAAACCTCAACACCAGTCAGCAAACTAAAGAACATAATCCAAATAATTAAGATAGTTAGATTTTGATGATTTTTATTGCTTAGCTAATCTTGAACCAGGAACTTGTGTTTTTCTCTCACACTATAATAATTGATCCGTTGTCGTTACCAACTGGACCCAAAGTCCCTCATGCATCTGGCCTCGAATGAATGAATGAATATCCAACAGATGCCTGTATACTATCACTGAGATGTAGGCTGTTACTCAACACCAGCTGACATTTGGAGGTTGGCCCTCTTTGTAAAAACTGAGAAAAAAGAATTAATTGCCAGCTGACATCAGGATCTGTCCACACTATGTCACCCAGGAATCATTAAAGGTACAGTAACGGTTGATTTAGATCGGTTGCAACTTGCCTGTGACCACCAGAGGGAGTGTGTTGTTGGCCTTTCCCCAGTCGTTTTCTGCAAAACAGGTGTAGCTGCCCTCATCTGCTGGCGTCACATTGAGGATTTCCAGGCTTCCATCCTCCCAGATTAAAACCCTGAGGAAGAAACAGATGAAAAGAAAAATGAAAGCTCCTGTTTTAAATCACATGTAAGGTCAAAAGTGCACTGTGTGATATTCAACAAACCACTGGATGATGAAAAACAGTGAAATTGCTCAAAATCAAATTTTTCTTCAGAAAAAAAAAAACAATTCTTTGCACAACTCAGCAAGAAGCTACATCCCTTTCCTTCAGAGGTGATTTACAGATTGATTTTTCTAAGCTTATATTTATTCATGATGGATGGTATCCCAGAAGCCCCCATCATCCACATCCTTTCCTGCTCAGGCAGAAGCCGTAGAGACAATTAGGTTGCATATCCTGCACAGTAAATTGCTTGCTGCTCCTCCTCTACAATATGTTAGTGCCAGCACTGGAACCTGGGGGGGAGTAGCATCAAATGTCAGAGTTGGTTGGTATTATTAAACTCAGATTACACTTGTTTTGCCAGTAAAGAGCATGAGATGGGTCTTTTCTCTGTCCACACAGAGCTGCAGGATGAGCTTAAAGTCATCCAGGGATAGACAGAGCAGCTCTGCTCAGCAAACAAAAACATTTCTGATTTTTCCTGGGTCTTATAGATCTGAGGCTCATTTAGATCCCAATCTTGTAAAGCATTTCTCTTGTAAATTCAGTTTGCCTTCAAAGCAGACTGACAGATTCTTGTCCTTGTGGCCCAGATGTGTCTCACAGTGACAGATGACGGCAGGCGGCCGATGAATACTGGCGTCAAAAACCAACAAAGGACAACTCAACCTTCACAAAGAACACTGAACATTATGAATATAAATAAATTGATATACATATTTTATCATATTCATTAGATTTTTATTCAAATGAATTTCACTAACAAATAAATCAAATATTCAGGAGTTTGAGCGGCAAAAATAAAAACATGTGTTTCAATATTTTGAAGAGATGACTGACCTGGAGGAGTTAGAGAGCAGCTCGGTTTCTTTGCTCCAGGTCAAGGTGGGCTTCGGGGCCGCTTTGGGTCGGCATTCAATAACGGCCCGACCATTTTTAGGAGCCAGCACTCTTTTTATTGGGCTGTGGGGAAACTTGGGAGCCCCATCTGTGGATTGACAACAGTGATTATTCTTCCTAAACCAGCTTGAATATTTACAGCTCCAAGTGTTATTACATACTACTGATCACAATTTCTACAAGACAAACTGCCAGGATGAAATTTGACCACAGAAGCTGGATTCATGATGTTAGGTTGAAGGTTTGAATACTTTAATTAAACGTTGGTTTAGAGGAGAGACAACAAAGACAAATTAAAATTTTCAACAGATCTCTATATATGTATTTTGCTTTAAGTAACAACATAAACTATTTACTGTAAAAACATTTTAAAACTAACAAGCTTTAAAGAATATATAACGCATTGATTTTATCGATACTAAGTGTTAGCCAAGTTGGACTTCTATAGTCAGGGAGCAGGATCCAAGCCATATCCAATTTAAATATTCAACCTGGACTTCTACCTCAGGACCAAAGGAATTTTTTATTTTTTATTTCATCCTACCAAAGATAGGTGATAGTTAAAACAGTGTTATATATAATAATTATGGATTTTGTTCTCCTAATTTGGTTGTTTGTCAGTTCTTAGACATTTTAGGATGCTGATGGCCTAATGTGTTTGAGTAGGTATGCATGTGTATGTTTACCTGTATGAATGGAGATGTATGTATATATATATATATATATATATATATATATATATATATATATATATATATATATAATTTATTCTTATTTTTTTGTGAATATTGGTTATAAAACAGAAATTTAACAGGAAGATTCCTCTACTCAAGTACCTTTAAGTCCAGGCAATTAACATTAATCATTGTAAATTATCTGGCTGTTTATACTGACAGGTTTATTTGCTGAAAGGTTTTGTTTGTTTTTCTTTATGTTCAGGTGAATTTAGATGGTTTGGAAATTGGAGTTTGGTTTGGTTTGATGTTAAATAGTCTCTTTCTGTGTGTATTTGGTTGTTTGTTTTAAATGTTTTTTTTTAAGTTAATTTATTTATTGTTGTAAATTCCTTTTTTTTTTCATTTTATTTCATTTTATATGATCAGTGCAGTCTTATTTAACAAAATAACTTTAAATACAGAATTGAAATAAAGGTATAAAAAAATTCCGTCTACACTGAGCCACTCAAGAAAGCCCAGGGTTTGAATCCCAACCAGGGTCTTTCTACTCTAACTTCCCATCATGGGAATAAAAGTATCTATATTGTTTTAATGAGCTGCTTCAAACTGCTTTTATGATGACTAATTTCAAACATTTGACAGTTCAACTATGTATTTTATATGATACTTCTGTATTGTATAAACCTATAAAGCTGATTACGGTAGGTCAAATTCATAATCCAATCCTTCTGTGACAAATCAACTCAGAAACCATCAATCCTTCAATGTTTAAACCTGGACTGGGTCAGAAAGCTAAAACAAACCCGGCAGTTTTCAAAACAAAGTCAGTTTAAAAAGTAACCTATAAATTTAAGCACAAGATATTTTTTCAGCAACTAGAGTCAGTTTGACTCACAAAACACTCGTAGCTCCGCATTGGCATAGATGATTCCATGGCGATTTTCTGCGATGCACTGGTACATCCCAGCATCATTAGTTGTCAGCCTGCTGAACCTCAACTCTTTTCCACTTTGCTGTAGAAAAAAATAATAATATTTTTACATATTTTATGTGGTTGAACTGTTGATATAAAGTTTAACTGATATCTAAACCACCTTAAATAAATGGTAAATTTTCCCCACTTACATGCCGCCTCATGCAACATTTTATTTGATGCATTTTATATACCTGTTCACACTGATACAGTGCTTTTTATTATCTACTCAAACCTTTTCTTACTCTAGCTGCTGCTCCCAGAGGGGATTTTAGGCCTGATGACAGATGTTTCTTGGGAAGAGCTGCACAACAGCTGATTAGCAACAGGTTCTTTCCCCTGTCATGATGTTTACCCACAGTCTCTGCTGAGCTACAGTAGCCACAAGTGGCTGTATAAAATTCAGGCTGGAGCTAAGAAGCTGTTGACTATGCTGCAGATGCCTAAGATTCAGAACAGCAAAGATTTCTAGGCCAGAATTTTACCGGTTCTCCATTTTTCAGCCAGCGAATGTGAGGTTTCGGCACACCTTTGGCAATGCAAGACATGGTGTAATCACTGTATAGGTCTTTCTCTGTGTCGACAATATGCTCCACCCACTCTGGATGAGCTGTAAATGAGGAAGGTGAGAATAATAGCAGTCAACAGAAAGTTAAAATACAGGGAACTTTGATAGTAAAACTGTAATTTGCTGCAAGCATATGGAAGCCTTAACAAGCTGAAGACTTAAAAGAGCTGACGTCCAAGCTGTCAATCAACATTTCTCTTACCTTCAACTGATACATTTGCATGATGGTGGTCTTTTCCCTTTGAGTTTACTGCTTCACAGCTGTAGATGCCACTGTCATCAAATTGGACATTTGGGAGATACAGCTGAGCACCTGCCATCCGCACCTGATGATTATCTGGTAATTTCCCATCTACCCTCTTCCAGCGGATCTCTGGTACAGGACTGGGTTAGACAGCGAGATACACCAATATCACTCACTAGACAGGATTTCAAAACACATACAGTGGCTTGCAAAAGTAATGTCTCAAATTGCAATGTTAGAGCCTTAAACACATGCCTATTTAATTGGGATTTCATGTGATAGATAAAACAAACAGTAAAAACAATAAACTACACAGTTTTTTTTTTTTGCACAACGACCTTAATATTAACTAAGCTAAGAAAACTTTCCTTTTAGAAGTTCTGTTTTTTTATCCCTTTGATGATAAAAAGACGAACTGAACCTGGAGACTTAAACATTTTTCAGATTTGATGTATCTTTATTTAACTCTTACAAAATGATCAAATATGAAAACATACTTTACCAGATTAGTTGATTACATTTAGAGCCTATACTCAGCACCCCTTATTCAGTACTTTACTTTTACTCCATTTGTATCTACAGTTAATTTCAGTCTCTACTAGCTATTCGCAGCTAGAAAGTAAACCCTTACTCCACTTACTTTAGCATCAAAAATCTCAAGCAGCAAAATCTCAACATCAGTTAAAGCCAATGGAGAGCATATTGAACATATATTTTTAAGATTAGTCAAACTTTTTTATTTGGATTTCAGTCTGCACTTTCACTGGACCACTATAAACCATTGATATTCCATTCATTCCATTCCCCTCCCCAATCCTGAGTCTTTTGCAGCCTCGAAACTGTCTTTTTGCTCCAACTTTCTCTTCATCCATGCTAAAGAATTGAATCCCTACAGCACGATGCTGCCATCACAATTTTAAGAATGGGAACAGTTCAGTTGATGTGCAGAGCGGAGCATTAATGAGTTGTGATTTTTTTTCAAGTTGACTGTTTTGATAGTGAAAGTCAAGTCGATGCGTCTTTCTATGACCACATCACATTAATAGTCTGGCAATGCACAAATGTAACCAAGCTTTTACTGCTAACTGTAATTTTTGTTCTACTAATCCCATAGAATAAGGTAATAAGAGACCAGTTTTGCATGCCTGATGCAAACCACCATGCAAGCGAGGCAGGGGGGACTTTCAGTTGTCAAGATGTGAGTCAGCACAACCTAATTAAATGGACTAGTAGACTTTTTGGTTAATTCCCCAGTGCAAATTTAGTGCTTTTGCACTGTATGATCTGATATAATACAAACCTACACTTCAAAAGTCATTAACTAAACTCCTACAAGAAGATGGAGCGATCATGGAGGACATTTTGCTACATGCATTAAGAGGAAACATTTCCTTCCCTCAACCAAAAGGGAAATCTTAAATCTTTCGCTTACTTCCCCAGTGCAAAACATTCCAAGATGATGTCTTGTCCAACCAAAGCAGTGGTGTGTGGGAACTTCACTCTAAGGTCTGCAGGGTATTTCCTGATAGGGCCTGAAAAATATGGACAATACTACGTGATAAATTATTTATGATTGTCATGATTATCATGATTGTTTTTCATACAGTATCTATTCAAACTTAAAATTCTCTTTGGTTTTCAAACCACTAAAGACATTATTAGGGTTTAATAATATATTCTGAAGTTTCAAGTTTATGTTTTAAAATGTTTTAGAGCCTTGAAGAATCTCTAAACAAAATTCTGTGGGGCTTCTCTGTGCTTATTTTTGTGAGTTTTCAAAAACCTGCAAAACATAAAATCCAACATTGACTGTTAACGTAAATAAAGTCTATACAGTGTGTATGTAAATACTAACGTTCGACAGAAGGCTTGAGGGGAATGTAGTTGGAAAATACACTCTTAGAGATGGAAGGGCTGGATGCCATGCAGGAATAGTTGCCCCTGTCTGACGATTCCACCTTGGAGATGTAAAGGTTGCCAGTTAACTGGGAGACAAAGTGACGCTTGTCCAGTAAGATGAATTTGGGGAATTCATTGAGGATCCATCGAAATGACAGCTGGCCTACAAAGAGATGGAGACATGTTAAAATGCCAGCTGTCAATCAAGGGTCCCGACACAAGACACCATTAGTGGAGACAGATGCGGAGCCTGGCGTTGGCTCAAACATATGGACAGGTGAGCAGCTATAAACAGTTATCCAGTTCTATCCAGTAAAGCATGACCTTGAAGGCGGATTTGTTGGTTTGTTTCAGTTAAAAATCTTAACTTAGCGTGCTGTGGGGACATCCGACTTGTTGTGGTAATTATAATGCTGCTTCAGTCAGTAATTCCACAAATTAGCATTCAGTGGAAATATTGGAAATGCTGTGCTGCTTGATGTATTGGATGGTTACTGGTACATTAGCAGTGCTAATGATAGGGGAAAATACTTTTGTGGGTCACAATAAAAGACAGTAAATGACAGCTGAGGCTAAGAACACCTTAGAAAGGTTTTTAGTTACACAATTCCCATTTGTTAATTACATTTTAGTCTGCACCAGTCTGCACGGGTAGCTTACAGAAAAGGTTGCTTGCTTAAACATTTTAAGTCCTAAGCAAAAATGACTCCAAATGTGGTATCAAAAGAATAGAGAGCAATGCCAGCTCTCAAAATGTTTTTTAACCCTAGCTTAGAGATGTTTGAGTTTGCTGGGTCTCAACCTGGGCAATTTACCTCCATTGTCTCCCCTGAAACCTAAATGGAATCTAACAAGCAGAGGAAAATATTACTCCCTCACCTTCATCAGCTGCAATAAGAGAGAGCCAGTGCCTACTTTATTTATTATATATTATACATCTTTATTAATTATATAACAAACACTGATATTTGTATAAAGGACTTAGCTAATGCTTTCTCATGTATATTCAAAATATGTGAAATAAATAAATGAAAGGATCAACTAACAAGAAGGGTCAATCAACAGGACATGTCCTTTTCATTCCATAATGGCACTGAGAGTTCAGAGCCCTACAATATTACCTCCCTACCAGGGCTGATAATATAGATACTCACTGATTTCTAAAATGGAATATTGTTGACAATGATTTTAGAAAGGTTCATGCAGTGGTTATTCACATTTAAAAAGATCAGTTTCAACATGTTAGGTTACTTAAAAACACAAGAATGTCTAACTTTTATTCAATATCATTTTTGTGCTGTTTTTGGACCAGTTGGGTTGCATTAAACAAGATAATACTCTTTTATTAATGCATTTACTAAACTAGAACATCAGATGTGCATCATGTACTCTATACCTGGGTAATGCGCAGGTGGAAAGCAGAGAAGGACTGCCCCCTGGCCCTCCTTCACATGCACTGCATGCCTCTCTTCCGATGAAAATAGATCCAGATCTGAGAAAAACAGAGATAGAAATAACATTGACCCTTTTGCACACTGAACTTCAGGCTCTTGTTTATCAATATTTATTATATGACCAATTTTTGCAAATAAAAACATAAAGTTTGTTCGAATCAGAGCATGTGAGCAGAGTGGAGCATGGGTTGGAGCGGAGTGGAACAAATATGGAGGAGGGCAAAGCGGTTTTCAATTCAAAGGCCTCTAAGAGAGGGTCAAGATCACGGTGAGGATTTCGCTGCAGTCCAGTTTGCTCCGATGTGCTCACAATGTCAGTTAAAAAAGTTGGATTATAAAATTTGTAAAATAGCATTTATGTGACTTAATTGTGATTTGTTTTGACAATTAATAATTAAATAGGATCGTGGGCCAACATAAATCCCAGGGCCCTGGCATAATTACAGTACATGAAGGAAAAATGTCAGAAAATTGCTTCTCCTGAAAATCTGAGCAAGCGTGGAGGTATTTTGCTGGAGCGGCAGGAAAATTAAGGTGAGTGTGGAGCGGATTTTGAGTGGAGCGTCCTAGCACAGCTTTGAGTGGCGGAGCGAATGGGCGAACATCTACCTGAAAGGGGAGCGGCTGTGTTCTGCTCCGTTCACATGCTCTGCTTGGAATATAAACTTTAATAAGAAAAACTGGAGATTTGATAAGCATGTCATGTATGAGTTAACAGCTTTAGGGAAGCTGTGTAACATCTGGACAGAGCTGCCAATCACTACCTAAACTCCAATCCAAACAACTCACATCCGAACTGGACAGAGGCCTCTTGGCTGACGACCGTGCCGTACATGTTGGTAGCCAAGCAGGAGTATTTCCCCACATGTTCTGTTCTAAGGGGATTGCTGATAATCAGGTTGCCTCTCGATAAACTGTAGTGGCTGCCATGTTTGTTCACATCAATGTCCGTGTTGTTCAGCTTCCATCTGCATTGAAAACAACTTGGGTCAAGACATTTGTATAGAAAAATTGTGTTTAGCACTTTTACATGAAAGGCCACAAGTCTGTAGGTCTAAAGCTGCAAAAATATATGTTAACTAAAAATTAAACAGACTAAAATCAAAAGCAATCTGACTTTTCCTCAGTTTTTACGAAACCTTTTCAGCATTAAATCCAGGATTTTTTGTCAGTTCTGTCGACTCAAGTCAAATCCAAAACAATGACGTTCTCCTGGATCATTACGGTATGTTGCCATGACCCAGATGAATGACTTTGTTTGTAGGCAAAATATACTTTCTCAATTCTGTTCTCAGACACCATGAAACATATCAGAAAAAAGTAACTATTAAAATTTAATTTGTTGTTTGGAAAGTTTGAACATACTGTGTTGCCAAGAGAAACCCATAGGGAACTCTCAATATGAGCAGAAGTCAAAGCTAATTCCTTCCCTGACATCTGATTCTAGGATTTCTGTTAGAAAAATCATTTTAGGCAATGCAGAGAACAATGTTTACACAGATTTGCAAGTTAATTAAAATGACCAGAATAAAATGCAGCAAAATAGGGTGAAGATACAATGAGAATACTGTTTATAAGCCTGACGTAGTCCTACTCAATTCTAGTCAGAATATGAGTCTGATGCTGCTCCATAGAGCTGTGAT